AAAAGTCTGGCCTTGCCCAGTGGCGCTTCTGGCGGTGCGACGAGCAGTCGTCTATGAGGGAGAGTGGCTGAGGCAGCAGAACGGGCGGAATCTGGTGAGGATGAACGGCTCGGGGAGGGGGGGGGGATGGAGGGCGAGGTGGAGGAGGAAGAGAAGGAGGAGGAGGAGGAGGAGGAGGAGGAGGAGGAGGAGGAGGAGGAGGAGGAGGAGGAGGAGGAGGAGGAGGAGGGGCAGTCTGACTGGATGAGGGCGAGGAGGGTCGAGCAGTGAGGCTATTCGGGTGTTTTGTAGCCTCGTTCGGGCTGTAGCCTTGTCCCCCTCCCGCCTCCGATATTACTCCTTCTCCTCGTCCTCGCCTCCGTTCCCCCGATCAGCCTCGTCCCCTTCGTCGTCGTCGTACTCCTCTTCGCTGTCCGCCTCATGCTCTTCGTCGTTGTCGCGCTCGTCTCCTCGTCTTTTGTTCTTCATCGCCGTTGTGTTTGTCCTCCTGATCCTGATCATCCTCCTCGCTTTCCGCGTCATCGTCGTTTCTCTTTGCACTCGTCGTCAATTTCCTCGTCCTCTGCTACTGCTGCTCTCCTCCTCCCGCTCCCGCTCGCCCGCCTGATTATCTATCCTTCGTCCTGTTCGTCTCCACCGTCCCCTCTCCCTCTCATCCTCTCCCCTGCTTCGTCTCTCACTATTTTCTGTCATCTCCTCCCCTCCTCGCCTTCCCCTCTTGCCTACCCCTCTTCCTTCGTCCTCACTCGTGCTTGTTTTTTCTAGCGCCCTTCTTTTGTCATCTCTCATCGCTCTCGTCGCTCTCCTTGCCCTGCTCCGACGGCGATTCCCACATTTCCGCCAGCGACTTCGACGAAGATTTCGACGACCTTGACGGCGACGACTCTAGCGACGACCATGGTGACACACGACGACGATGATGGAGACGATTCTGGTTCCGACGACTCCGACGACGACCCCGTCGACCGCGACGACTCCGGCAACGACCCCGACGGCGACTCCGACGCCGACGACTCCGACGACCCCCACGACGCCTCAGACGAAGACTTCCACGACGACGACGACGACGACGACTCCGACGACGACGACGGCGACCACGAGGAGGAATTCAATGACGACGGCGACTTCGACGATGACGACGACGAAACCGACGATGGCTACGACTTTGACGACTCCAGCGACGACGACTCTGACGGAGACTCCGATGACGCCGACGTTTCCGACGACGAATATTCTGATGACGACTCCAACGAGGAGCTCGGGGACGACGACGATGGCGAGGACGATTTCGACGACGCCTACGGCGGCGACGAGGACGACTGCGGCGATGCCGCCGACTCCGGCGTTCAGGACTCCGACGACGACGAAATCGGCGACGATTCCGACTCTGACGACGCCGAAACCGCCGCCGCCGACGACTGCGACGTGAGGAATACGACTTTCACGGCGACATCCACGACGACGTGCGCCACGAATTCTGCCACGAAGTCTGCCGCGACATCTGCGACGAAATCTTCAACAGATGGCGCAACGAATCGTGCAACGAATCGTGCAACGAATTGCGCAACGAATCGCGCAACGTATTGCGCAACGAATCTGCAACCAAAGCTGCAACGGATTGCGCAACGAATCGCGCAATGAATCGTGCAACGAGTAGTGCAAACGAATCGTGCAACGAAAAGTTGCTTGTATTGTTTTCGAGCAGGTGGTCAGAACAGCGAACCGCGCCTCAGGCAGGACTTGGGGACGGCCGCCCGCGCGTGCAGGGCGGGCGCGCGAGGAGCACAATCCGTTGCGCTCGGTCGGCCTCCGCTGGGGCCTTCCTGCGATGTCGTCTCGGGATCGCCGGGCCCGGCCGCTGTGCCTCCCGTGCTGTCAGAGGGGCCACGACGGGTTCGCAGGTCGTACGTGTTTCCCTCAAGGCTTCCCAGGCTTCCGTCTGGAGCTCCTTGGGGCCGTCTTGGGGCCCTCTTGGGGGCCCCTTTGGGGGACCTCTTGAGGTCCTCTTGGGGCCGTCTGGGGGCCCTCTTGGGCCCGTTCGGGGGCTTTCTGAGAGCTCTAGACAATCGGTCCCCGCGTCTGGAGCTCGTTCGGGCCGTCTTGGGGCCCTCTTGGGGCCCTTTTTCGGGCCTCTTGTAACTGTCTTGAGGCCCTCTTGGGGCCGCCTGGGGGCCCTCTTGTGCCCATCTGAAGACCCTCTGAGAGCTCTAGACAACCGGCCTCCGCGTCTGGAGTTCCTTGGGGCTCGTTTGGGGTCCTCTTGGGAGCCTTTGGGGATTGCCTTGGAGCTCTAATTACTGGAGCCGTCTGGGGGCCCTCGTGGGTTCCTCTGAGGGCCCTCTCTGAGCTCCAGACGCGGGGGCCCGTTGTCCAGAGTTCCCCAGAGCCTGCCCTGAGCGCCGCCCTGGCACCGAGGCGGCCCCACGAGAGTTCCACAATCACCCAAGTAGGGCCCAAGAGAGAATCAAAAGAGGCAGACGAGAGCTCCAAGGGAGCCCCAAGTGCGGCCCCAGGAACATTCCAGCAATCCTTGAGAAGCTTCTGACGCGGGGGTCCGATATGCGAGAGCTCTCCAGACGGGGGAGGTATCAGAAGCGCATCGGAAGCGAAGATTTTTCACCCTGCTCCAGCCCCCCCAGAGCGCCCCAGTGCACCCCTTCGCGCTCCCTTTCTGTCCCCTTCAGGCTTCTCCTACTCATCTACAAGGGCGGGTCGCAGGCGTCCGACTCGCCACCAAGCAATTCGACTACGCACTATCTCTATGCTACTACGCCCCCACACGCGTCAAGTACTTTCCAGCGCTGCTGGCTGACGCAATGAGCACGTGGCAAGAGGCCAGATGTTACCGACTGGGTTGTCGCACCACTATCGTGACAGGGGGCGACATAAACAGTGACTTTGGATGCCAGGGGGACCTCGACGGAGGAGCCGTGTGCTGTAAGGGACCCACGGTGGGCTCCAAGGCGGCCAAACTGGAGAACTTGAACGGGCAGAGCTTTCGGGGTCTGTGTGCAGGTAATGACCGAAGTATAGTTACCACATACACGCACACCACGACATCGGTCCTAGTTACCACGGCCATTCTGGGCACAGTCGTCGGGTCGGCCGCATCGCTCTCCCCACGGGACTCCTGGGACAAGTGGCGTGTTGCGCTACATTCATCAGCGCCGGACAACGATTACAACAAATAAAGACGAGAGGGCACAGAGACCATGTACCAGGAGGGCGGCCCCGCGGGCCGGCAAGCGATCGCGCGAGCGACCGGTCGCGCGGGCGAGCGAGCGGGCGGGCGCGCAGGCGCGCGGGCGCTCGGGCGGGCCAACGGGCCAGCGGGCGGTCGGGCGGGCGCGCGGGCGCGCGCGCGGGGGTTGGCGGGCGGGCGGGGGCGGGTGAACGGGCGAGGGCGCGAGCGGGCGAGCGAGCGCGCGCGCGCGCGGGCGGGCGGGCGGACGGCAGGGCGGGCGGTCGCGCGGACAGGCGGGCGGGCCGGCGGACGCGCGGGCGGGCGCGCGCGGGCAGGCAGTTGCGCGAGCGAGCGGCCGTTGAGCGAGATGCAGGCCCGAGAGGCGGCAGCGAGGGTGTGCGTGGTCTTCCCAGCTAGCTAGGGACCAGCGAATTCGACCGCCAGCGGAGCGCAGCAGGTGGGGGAGGAGGGCCAAGAAGGGTTCGATGGGGGGAGGGGCAGGCATACCTGGCTGGAGGGAGCGGGCGGACAGGTATGTGAAGCAGGATTCGCGGGGGGGCGGGGCAGAGCTCAGTCCGCGGCGCGCACGAGGAGGTCCGCCGAGCTGGAGAAGGAGCTGCAGGAGGCTGCGGCCCGTATCTGCGCTGCCCTGCGCCGACGGAGTTCCCAGGACACCTCCTGGTCACCATCGTCAGGGGCAACGTTCTTGTTGTTTCCGAGTCGTACGCTGGGCGGTGTGTGGACAGACAGGGCGCGTATGGTACAACAGACATGGCACTCGGGAAATCATGGTGCGAGGATGTGATGGCGCAGCCTGCGCTTCAGACCCGATTCTTGAGCGATTCTGGTGGAGTTGCGTCTACAGGGGAAACGTCAGGGGGGGGGGGATGGGCTCAGGGGGGGGTGGTGCATCGACCCCCCAATCGCCAAGGGCTCCCCCGAGGGCGCGAAGTTATTCGCGCTTCGCGCTTCGCGGTCCTCGTTCCTTCTCCCCCTCCTCCTCGTCCTCCTTTTCTCCCTTTGGGGGGGCGGCGCGAGGGCGCGAAGTTATTCGCGCTTCGCGCTTCGCGGAGCGCGAAGCGCGAAGTTGGGAGCCCTAGATCGCCCATCGATCGCCGACAGGGGCCGGATAGCCCACCATGCCCCTGACCGCGGTTCGCTATCGGGGGGCCCAGCGTCGATCGGTTGGGATTTGTATCTCCGCTTCCGGCTCAGTGTCCCCCACCCGCTGAGCTGGTCGTCCCCCCAATGTTGCCCCTCACATCAGTAGACACCCGTACATTGTTGGGCAACCTCGGGAGCGCGAAGCTAAACGTGCCCGCGTGTTTCGTGGCCTGAGCCAGGAGCTGTTCCGTCTCACTGGAGCGGGGCGACCGCGCGAAGATAATCGCGCTTCGCATCGCGTGAGGCGCGAAGTCCAGTGACCCAGGTGGCCCTCTTCCTCGTGAAGACGATGATAAAGAGGAGGGTGACGACGAAGTATGCGCCAACTTCACGCAAGTGTAACACCCTTTGAATGTGTGTGTGTGTGTGTTTCACGAATGCCTCTGCATTTGCGTCGGTGTGTGGATGCTCTATTCCTTTCCGCTCAGGCTGTTCAATGGGATCGTCATGGGGTCAGGCTTGGGAGGTCCCAGAGGCCCTCAGAGAAGACATCCAAGACGGTCCCAGGAAGACCCCAGGCTAGCCCCAAGAGAAGTTCAAGAAGCTCCATGATGGCATGCCGACGCCGTAGTTACTTTGGTCGAAGCCCTGTGGTGTTCCTCATAGATGTTGAGCAAGTTATTGTGCCACCTGGGCGGTCACGCGGGCTCGCATGACCGTGAGGTTTGGACCCGAATTACGCGCATTCGTTACGAGGGTTGGTTTGTGCACAAACGCTCTCACGCCGAGACGTGAAGCACTGCATGTTGTCAGCATTGCCTGCAGATGTCTGAGCAGTTTTGCTTGTCAGCGCAACCGGGCTGCATTGGGATTGACGCTGCCGAGCAGCAAACTGCCACGGAGCGCGCGCACAGCTGACACCTTGAATATGGAGCATGATACGCCATCGAACAGGCGCTTCACTAAAGCGATTGAGCAGCTCACGAAGCAAGGGAATTATGCAGAGGCATGGAAGGTATTCGATAGCATCGAACAGAAAAACACAATCGTGTACAGCGCGATGCTAGCAGGAGCAGTCCGTTGTGGCCGTTACTCGCAGGGAGTTGAGCTGTTCGAGAGTTTAAGGACGACCAGTTTGGCTTTGACTGAGCCTGTGTACGTTTCGGCGATGGCCTTGTATGGAGGATGCTCCCGCTGCGTGGAAGGCCTTGAGCTGTTTAATGAAATGCGAAAACTGGGCATTGCAAACAATGTTCCCCCATATACGACTGCCATTCAATTGTGTGGAAAATTATCTCGTCACCAGCAGGCCAATGATATCTGGGAAGATATGATAGCTAGAGGACTCCGGCCCACTGGAGCAGCTTTCACAGCAATAATGAGTGCCGCGGCGAGTGTTGGAGACCTGGCCGAGGTTCAGAGGCACCTCGACGCAATGGCCAGCTATGAGCTACAGCCCTCTCGGAGTCACCTGGGGTGCATGCTCAAGGCATGCCGCTGCGCGGGCGATGCCGATCGCGCCGAGAAGCTCCTGCACGACATGGCGGACGGGCCCGTGAAGCCCGACGTGGTCCACTACACGATCGTGATGGGCATCTACCGCGCCTCCGGCCTGGCAGGCGCTGACCCCGAGGCGGGGCACAGCCGTGTCTCGCGGCTGGCCGCGCGGATGTCCCAGCAGGGCGTGGCGCCGGACAAGTTCTTCCTGGAGGAGCACCTGGCGGCCGTCCTCGGGGGCAGCCTGCAGCAGGTCCTCGACGGGTCGCTGGCGCCCACGCCGCCGGCCGCGGCGGCGGCGAGGCGCCTGCTGGAGGCCGCCCGGCGCAGCGGCACCCAGCAGACGCGCGTTACCCAGGCCGTGGAGCGGTGGCTGGCGGGTGGCACGCCGACGGCCGCGGCGGGGTCGGCGCAACGGCCAGGCGACGCGGGAGGCCTGTGGCTCGAGGCGGCAGACCCCGCCAGCGGGCGGTCGTATTACTACCATTCGCGGACGCGCGCCGTGAGCTGGGAGAGGCCAGCGGGCGGTGCTGCACCCTGAAGCGGCAGCGGGGAAGCAGCGATGCGGAAGACAGAGGGCTTGCCCGCGCTCCCGGAATCATCCACACCGGCCCCCCAAGAGCCCAGGGCGGCCTCAGAGGCCACATGATTGCCCCGAAGGGTTCTCGGTGTAGCTTTACCGAACGTCTCTTAAGTTTTCTGGGAACAGCTTTGAAAAACTCTTCAATTATTCATTGGAAGATTGTCACACCCAGACATTTGGCCTCACGGAAGGGGCTAGTTCGACGGCGCCCATGGGGGGCCCCTGATGTCCCCAAGACAGCCCCAGAGGGCCCAAGAAGGCCCGAAGACGCTCCCAAGACGGTCAAGACGGGCCAAAGACGGGCAGGCCCAAGACGGCCTAGAAACGACCCAACGGGCTCCCAAGACGGCCGAAGGGGGCCTTTCGTGGGCCCCTCCTCGGGCCCTCTTGGGCCGTCCTGGGCACCTCTTGGGACACTTACTGTAGGGCGCTATGGGGGGCCGCTTGGGCTGTCCTGGAGCGTGGGAACTCCGAAGAGGCGAGAACTCTTTAATCGTTCAAAGCCCTGAGGGAAGTCATTGGTTTTGGCATCTTGGGACGTTATGGGAGGGGCTCTTGGGACTCTCGGGGCATCTTGGGGGCCTCTTGGGCCATCGTGAGGCCATCTTGGGCATCTTAGAGCGGTCGTGCACCGACCCAGGGCCCTCTTGGACCGTCTCGGGCGCCTCCTGGGGCCCTCTTGACCTGTTTTGGGGCCCTCTTGGCTCCGAGGAAGACATGCGGGGACACGCCCCAGGATGCGGTGGACACCCCGCGGCATGCGGGCCGCCCCACGAATCCAGCAATTCTGGACCCAGGCCATGCCATAGTTGTTCATCAGGACTGAGGACGGAAGGCTCAAGGGACCTGAGGACATGCCAACTCATGCCGCAGGGCACGGTGGCGGATACAGCTAATTACTCGCTGGTTGGACAGAATACGTAATCTCTCAAGTTTCGGTCCAGGGGGCCCAGAGGCTGAATCGGCGCAGAGAGTGGCGAACTGTCTGGCGAATGCCCTTGCGATGACCGGTCCAATTTCGCTTGAGTTTTTCTCCTCGGAGAAGGCTTCACCCCAGCAGCGCACCCTGACAGCAGCAAAAGGTGAAGAGACGGGTCGAGGAGCGAGAGGTCGGCGAGGGGTCTAAGATGCAGCTGGGACAGGGTTGGGAGCACGGCCACGTGCACCCTCGTGCCGTGTCACGCTGGTCCGTGACCGTCCAGGCAAGCAAAAAGTTGCATCGGGGCGAGAGCGCGATTCCCGAGTCGAGCGTGCGGAGGTCTCAGGCGAGGCGGCTGCCAGACCGGGCGGTCCTGTGGGGCTCTTTTTCGGGTCTTCGCGTACATACCACGACGAGAGCCATCTGGCGAAGCGCCATTCTGGAGCAATTGCTTAAACATAAGCTTTCCCAGGTCCGCGCGGACTTCTTGGATCGGCGCTGGGCCCCACTCCCTGGCCCGCAGAGCGCGCCGGGGGCGGCGCCCGAGGCGCCGCCAGGGTGGGCCAGCGCCGATCCGAGAAATCCGCGCGGACCTCCGAAAGCTTATGCTTACGCGCTTACGCCGATGCTTCTTCCTCGAACTTTCCCCCCCCCCCCCCCCTCTCTTTCTCTCGGGCTCCTGGACTCCCACAGTGCACATCCCGGGCTCCGGGGGCCGTCCTTCTGGACGTCTGTCGGCGCCTTGCCTCGCTTCCGTCTCGCTTTCTCCTTCTCGCTCTCTCGTTCTCGCCCTCGCTCCCTCTCGCTCTCCCCGCCCCACCGGGGGTCCCCCCCCACCAGGGAACGGGGACAAGGGGCCGTAATGCCACCCACCAAGGTGATGGAACCGGAATGCCCGCGGAGCATCGTGCTGAGCACCGTATTGTCCGGAGGAAAACCCTCACGCAGCACCTCACTGCGACCAGTCACCAGCGACAAGAGGATCAAGCACGTCACGAACGCGCCAACCAGCTGGTGACTTCTCTTCAGCAGATACAGGACCAGGCAGCACCGCTGATAGATAGGTTCTATCGTGCATAAGAGTCTAGGGTTCTCACAAAACGAGTTTTCCGCCCTGGTGCGACCAGAGGGACCACCCTCCAAACCATTAAACCATTTCCCACTCCCAAAAGGGCGGCACACCAGTGCTAGCCTCCGTCCACGGGTCCCGCGAGAACATGTGGCACCTGCTCCGTTGTCTGCTGCGTCTCGGTCGCTGAGGGGATGCCCAAAGGGGCGGCGCGTCTCCTCGCAGGGCGCCGAGGCGTGCACACCAATCCACGCGTGGAGCCGGCGCCTCCCTGCGCACGGTGGCGCAGGCGGGCCCCCGTGCGGTCTGATCGTCGCCGACCGTCTCCGTTCTCCAGCCGGGGACGCACTGGTCCGCGCCGGGGGGGGGGCGCATCCCGGGCCACCCCTGTTCCGCAAGCGACGCTCGTCGCTTTGTGAAGTGGACCCACGGGACAATCGTGTTTCGGGGGGCCGGGCGACGTTGCCGTCCGATGTGGTGCGCTCTCCTTCTCGCTCTCCCCTCTTGCCCTCTCTCCCTGTCTCTCTCTTTCTTTCTCTCTCACTCTCTCGTTCTCTCTCTCTCTCTCTCTCTCTATTTCTCTCCATCTCGTTCGCTCTTTCCCTCTCGGTCCTCCATATCCGCTCTGTTCTTTTCGCGCCTCCCCCCCTCTCTCTCTCCTTCTCCCTCTCCCCTTCTCTCTCGTCTTCCTCTCTCTCTCTCTCTCTCTCCCTCTCGCTCGCTCTCTTCCTCGCGGTCCGTTCCATTGGCCGACCCCGAGGCCGCGCGCGAGGGCGCCGCCTCCGCGGCGCGCGTGCGGCAGCTGAACGAGCAGCTCGCCCGCCACTTCGAGGATTGTCCCCCGAAGCGACGGACTGCGTTCTTCTTGTCGACCTGCTGGTGGTTTTGGCGTGGCATTGACCGAACTTGTCGCAGTCCTTTTCCACTGCCCAATGCTGGCAATGACCAGAGCAGAGGACCGTTAGCATGATTGCATGCTTTTGCGCAGTCGCCTTGCTTCTCCTGCTCTTCCTCCTCCGAGGTGGCGCGAGCGATCCATCTCGCACCCCCACAGTCTGAGCGCAGGCGGATCCCGAGGTTCCTGCTCCTGACTCCTCCTCCTCCTCCCCCTCTTTTTTTCCAAGGGGTCCCCTCTTCATGTCCACCTCCCCGACCCTCTTCCCACCTTCGATATGCGCCCCCCCTTCTTCCATGTACCATTCATATCCTCCCCTTCCGCTCCCCTTCTTCACCACACCCTCCTTCCATTTCCTCCCGATTCTGTTTCGAGTCGTACTAGTTCCTCCTTTCCATCTCCTCTCCCCCCGACATCTCCTCCCCCTCTACAACGGAGCACGATGACAAAGTGCAGGATGCCGAGGAGGGGAAGGGATGATCAGGAACAGCGGAGGAGGCGGGGGAGAGAAGGGAGAGAAGGAGGAGGAGGAGGAGGAGGAGGAGGAGGAGGAGGAGAAGGAGGACGGAACGCAACAGCTGTAGAACGCATGTCCGCTCAATATCAAAAAGAAGGAGGAGGAGCATGACCAGGAGCAGGAGGAGCAGGAGGACAGTGACAAGAGCAAGGAGGGGAAAGGGGAGCCAGTGGGGACGGTGCGGGAGCGGCGGGGGCAAAGGTGGAGCAGGAGGAGGAGCCTTATTCCTCCCCTCCCCTCCCGGGCAAGGCCGAGGAGGGCATGTCCGAGAAAGTCGCCCGGTGCGCCGCTCCCTCCCGCCGCGGAGTCCGCGCGCCGCGGCGCTTCCTGGGGGGCCGGGCAGTGCCAAGGGGGAGTCGCCACACGAGGGTGGTCAGCAGGCCCTTTGGAGGATCGAAGTCCCAGGATCGACGCTCGAGGAGGTTTTTGAACGTCAGGGGCTGCGCTGGAGGGCTCTGGAGTGTTCTGGGGGGCCGGGGGGGGGCACTTCTCGGAGGAGCTGGCGCTTCCTCGAGCAAGTGACGACCCCACTGGTGGTGACTTCTTCTCCTGGCGTTGCCCTCAGGGGGCAGGGATGCAAACGGCGGAGGCGCCCCGCCGCCAGGCACTTCCACGCGGGCGAGCAGCGCCGGCAGGTCCGCCGCCGATCGCGCGCGCGCGCGTTGCGCGCCACCAGGCCCTCGCCTGAAGGATGGGCCTGGGGTCCGGGCGGGCGGGGGCGCTCCTTTCTTCGACTACACGTAAGTCAAGCAGTGGCGAAGCGTCCTGGCGTGCCTATAGCCTTATGATGGCAGCGGCCTCCTCCAGGAGGGATATGGAGGTTTTGCTGGCAAGTGTAGTCAAGAGTGTCAAAACAGTCTGCAGGCCGCGGCGCTCAGGAGCCTCAAAACAGTGTCGCGGCGACACTGTCGCGCAAAAAAAAAAAGTGCAGGCCACTCAGGCGACACTCGGCGCTGCCACGCCGCGCGCAATTTCGCAAACCCGCCCCGCCGAGTGGGCGGGGGGCTGGGGGCAGAGCACCCGTGCCGCGCGCTGCCGAACCAACGCGCGGCACATCAGGAAGCCAACGCGAGGCGCAAGAACCTGCGCAAGGGGGGCACCCACGGACGCGAGCTCGCGCTCGGGCCACGCGCAGGCCGCTTTGGAGCCAGGCGGCCTTGAGCCAAAATGGCCACGGACGGAGTGGAGGGGGATGGATGAGGAGGGAGGGGCGGGGGCAGCGGGGTGGTCTGGGGAGGGGGGGTGCGAGGGCATAGCGGCGGAGCCCCATAGGGAGTTCCATCGGAGGCCCCATTGCCAGCGGTCGCATTCGGTCCGAGGGTCCACTTCGGCGCGCTCACACGTTCCGCGCCTTCATAGAGAGCTCCACCGAAGGCGCCAGCGGCAGCGGTTGCCTGCGGCCCGAGGGCCCACTCGGACACGCGCTGGTTTTCGGAATCGCGCTCTCGCCTTAGGCACCTTCGCACCGCGGGCTCCTGGCGGGAAAAAGCGTCGGCCCACTCGGAATGAGAGGGGGTGGGGAGTAAGAGGGGGGGTTCGGCGGCGGCGACGGCGGCGGCGACGACGGCGGCGACGGCCGCTCGGGTGCCCCCCCCCGCTGGCGCGGCGGCGCCCTCGGGCCGCCCGTGGCGGCCTGCCCCCTCGGGTGGCCGCGGGCGGGGCGGGAAGCAGGAGGCAAGAGGGGGGGAGAAGGGGGGGGAGAGGAGGGGGGAGGGAGGGGGGGGAGGAGGCGGGGGGGCTAAGGTCGCGTGCCAACTCACGATGAAAACAGACGAGATGGAGAACAAGAACTAATGGCTCTCAGACCGATGCAAAGAACTCAACGAACAAAAACATCACCTCCTTGCCATTGTACATTGTAACAATGACAAGGAGGCGGACAGGAAAGCCAGAAAGGCCTCGAGGAAGGAGCATAAGGAGAAATATCGTGAGGCCTCGGAGGGGAAGAAACGCAACGCTGCCAATAATGAACAAGACAACGGAGCGCACGGGCCCCAAGGAAAGCAAAGCTGGGGGAAGAGAAAGGTGAGGAGGGGGAGAGGATGAGGAGGGGGAGGAGCAGAAGGGGGAGGAGGAAGAGGGAGGGGGATGGGGAAGGGGAGGGACATGGGGGCGAAGGGGAGAGGGGTGAGGGAAGGGGTGAGGAGGGAAAAGGGAGAGGGGGGCGGGGCGGACGAAGGGAGGCGGGAGAAGGGAAAAGGAGAGGCCCCGCCGTCATCACGCCTTGTTCCATTTTCTCATTCCACCATCCTTCCTTCTCCTCCCTTCCGTCTCTGTTCCACTCCTCCGCCTCCTTCTCCTCCTCCTCCTCCGCCCTCCCCTTCCCCGCCGCCTCGACGCGGCTGACTTCGCCCTCTGGCGATGCCAGGGGCGTCGGACGCAGCCGCGGGGGCACCCCGTCGGCCCGTCGGGCCCCTCTGACTCTGTCGGGCGCGGAGGGGGGGGTAGGTGGCGACGGCTCGAGATCCGCGGGGGCGGGGGGCGGGGGGCAGGGGTTAGGCCGGTGGGGGATCGGGGGGGTGGGGTGGGCGGAAGAGTGGGGAAGAGAAATACGCACCCCCGCCACACGTGTTTTTCTCCTCTGGCCTAGAGAGCTGGAGATACCGCGTCCTGACTGAGTCCAGTCAGGCCCCGATGCGGACCGACTCGCAACTCGTAACTGTCAGCCCGCATGCTGTCTGCGGGCTGGGACCTGGGCTGGGTTTGTGCGTGCGTGTGTGTGTGGTGTGTGTGTACCTCTCTGTCGTGCTGCGTGCTTGCACGCTGCGGGAGAGGGTGCTGCAGTGTTTTCTACACGCGCACCCAGCACCCGTGCTGACATGCACGCGCGGCGTCTGCGTGCGCTCGCTGCGTGCCGAACGCCAAAATGGCAGCTCGTTTCACCACACCACTCGGCCCCAGGAAACCTAACTACACATTAATCATTAATTTTGAATTGCATGGCCAGCTGCACCCGCGCCGACAGGGTTGGATGCAAACGGTCCTGCGAAATGCCACGCTCCTTGAGGGCGCTCGTCGTCTTTACGATCGTAGCCCTCAGCAACTGCTTGTCAGTCGCTTTCTTGAAAGCCATGAACAGACTGCCTGTCACAAGAGTCACCCACGCGTTGGTGATGATGTCTGACACCTTCTGGTAGTTCTGATCCCCCTCGATGCGCAATCCGTATTTCTCACCCTCGGACTTCCAGTGGGCCAGCGCCTTCCAAGAGGGAGGTGAAGGAGGGAAGGCCATGCAGCGGTATCTTAGGCTAACTGGTGCGCGGCTTTCCTTCTTTCACCTTCCTCCTCGAAACCCATCTGCGACCCACTGAACAACTTAAGAAACAAACGCAAAGATACGTCGGGCGTGAGCCCGCGCACGTTTGCACCAACATAACTGGGGGGGGCACACAGCCGCCTTCTCGGCAGCGTCCACATTCTTCTTCAAGGGGCCGATGGTCTTGCTCATCTCCGTGGACAAGATCGCACTGTCGGCGTGGACCGCCAAGTTTTTCCACACGTGGAGGTTGGCTGGGCCAGCGCTCAACCAGTCCGTGCCGTCGGGGAGGCCGTGCATGTAGGGCTCGATATTCGCCGCTGTCGTCTGGGTCTCGGCCGATGCCACGTCGACGGCGTGCTGCCCCACCGTCTTCACCACGCGCCTCGCGTCCTCCACGTACTGGTGGATCTGCGCCTTCATGTGCTCGTGCAAGCTGATGTCCGAGTCGGCCTCGTCCTTGATGTAGGCGTCCAGCTTCTCCAGGAGGACGCGCAGGAGGGCAAGCTGCGGGTCCCCGAGATCCACCTGCTCCGCGATGAGCTTCTTCTCATCGTCGAAGAACTTCTGGACGATCGCCTCCGTGGTCGGCCTCAGCGACCGACATGCGCTCGATGCCTCCAAGCTCCGCTGCTGTCCCTTCGTGGCCGTGCTCGGCAGGAAGTCGTGCAAGTGGTGCGCTGCCTGCGTCGCGGCGTCCGCCATCTCCTTGCCCCCCTCGGGCACCGTCAAGATCTTCTTGATGAGGGCGCAGGCGCACTCGCCGAGCTTCGCAGTCATCGTCGAATCCAAGTCGTCCTTTGCCATCTTGCCCATGATAAGGCGCAAGTCGTCGCGAAGGTTGACCGCGGTCGCCGCGTCAGCAAATATGTCGTTGACCAGCGTGGTCAACTGCGCCCTGATGGCATCGCGGGGCATGGAGGCGTCGGCTTCGTCCATCTCCGTCTTCATCTTCAGAAGCTCGGCGTCCGACGGCATGGCGTCGACCGCCTTGCCCAACAGCTGGATGAATGTGCTCTGCTGCGTCTGCGCCAATGACCCCGTCGGCGTGGCTGAGGCGACGCTGGCCGACAAATCTTTCAGCGCGGCCTTCACCTCCTTGACGACGGGGGTCGCGAGCTCGTCGCCCAGGGAGCACGCGACTTTCGGGGTGGTGCTCAACGCCGCGGTGGCCGCAGCAACCGCCCCGTCGAAGCCCAGGGGGCTGCGCGCCACCGACAAGAGGGCGGACGTGGATGCTGAAACCTGGGGGGCGAGCTCCATGGCCATGACTTTGTCCTTCATCAGGGTCGCCCACGTCTTGCTGTACTCGGCGCACGCGCCGATGGCGATCGCCACCCCCTCCAGCCCGCTGAAGATGTCCCCGCGGTTGGGGTCGAGGGAGAGGATGTCGCTGTAGAAGGCGTCGATGTCGCCCGCCTTCCACGGGCTGGTCGGGTCGCAGATCTCGGCGACGCCGCCCACCATGGAGCCCAGCGCGCCCAAGAAGTGCGACGCGCCCTCGCAGAACTCCTCTGCGTCGGCCAGCAGATCGTCCATCAGCGAAGCCATCCGAGAAGAAATCGCCACGAGCATATCCTTCTTCTCGTGGCCTCCCTCGATCAGTGCAGTGTGCACGCCGCTGATGAAACTCTGGTTGAACATGCGGATCTTCTCGGCCATCTCGAGGTCAATGAAGTGGAGCTTCGGCGAATCCGCAGTGAAGGTGAGGCCCGCTTCCTGAGATGATGTGGGCCATGGCCACACCATCTCAAAGAAGAAGGCGACGTCGGTCATGGACTGGAGCTCGACTGTCATGCGTTCCTGGAACATCTTCTTGCACATGTTCTTCTGGACGACGGGCGGGGCATCGATGGACTGGCGCAGGCGCTCGAAGGCGTCCTTGACATCGCCAGCCGAGGCGCTGAAGATGTTGGTCTCGTGAAGCTTGTTCGCGAGCTCGTACCTCGTCATGTGCAGGGTGAGTCTGTTCCACTGGTCCTTATCCTTGTCCTTCAGCCTTTTTCGACTCTCCAGTGGCGTGGTGCGCTTGGGCGCCCAACTTCCCAGCTGTGAGCACCTTCGACAACGGGAGCTTCGCAATCCACTGGTCCCCCTTGCCCACAGCTGGGCCCCCTGCATTGGGGGCCTGGCTCGCCGAATCGTCAGCATCGATGCTGCAGGTGTTCGCCGCCGCTGCCTGGAGTCGGCCGATGGCCGACAGGGCGGATGGCACCCCGCTCACAGCGCTCCTCGCAGCACGTCGCTCCGCCATGACGTTGATCGTCGTCGCCGACAAGGTGCCCTTGCTGTAGAGCATGGGCGCGTGCGGAGAGTCAGTCTCGCCATCTCCCGCCCCCCCCGTTGGCGTGGACTCGATGCCGCCAGAGAGGACCGAGCACGCTCCTGACATGGTCATCGGCGGCGACGTGGAGGACACCCCGCCTGACGGCAACCCCCCGCCGCGGAGACGCCGCGTCCCCATCGAGTTGGCCATCTCCTCCGTGAGGGCCAGGCCGGCGCCCTCGTGGGTCTTGAGGTTCGCGAGCAAGGTTGACGGGCCACTCGAGTGAGTCTGCTCGCCCATGCTCCAGTCGAACGTCCGCGTGCTCTGGGAGGCGAAGATGTGGTTCTCCTGCTTCATGTACGCACAGCTCTTCTCGCTAACGACGCCCATGCTGATGCTCAGCGCGCGCAGGAAGGACCAATCGATCGTCCACATGAAGAGCCATACGCCCTCGACGTCTAGGCTGTCCTCCGAGTGCAACATCATCGAGGGGATCGATTTCGTGTTCTTCTTGGTGGGCTTGAAGCCGCAATATCTGTGCAGCTCTGACCTCGACATGATGAGGGCCTTCCGCTTCACTTTCATGGAGAAGACCTCGCGCTTGCCCACCTCCTCGGGGAAGAGCGGCCTCTTACCCTGCTTCTTTATCTGCATCTTCCCCTCGATGAAATCCTTCTTGAATACATCGTCGCTTATGCTCGCGACGACGTCGGTGATCGTCATGAGGCTCAGGCTGTGGATGTAGACGTCGTCGCAACTGCGGCGCGCGAAGACGGCCTCGTCCTCGCGGGCGCGCTTGACCAGGTCGTCGCACGCCTCGCGGCGGCAAACAATTGCTGTTAAGCAAAAACTTGCTTCTCGGATCCTCGACCCCCCCCCCCTCCGCGCCCCGCGCGCGCTCCGCCTCCCCCCCCCGCCACTCTGCGAGCGACGGGGGGGGCGGGGGGGGGCGCAAGTGGACGAGGGGGTAGGGGGCAGGGGGAGGGGAGGAGGGTCGGGAGCATCAGAGGATGGGGGGAATGAAGGACGGAGGGAGGAGGGGAAGGAGCAGGGAGCAGAAAGCAGGGACGGGGGGTTGTTGCTGTGTTGTTGTGATTGTTGTTGATGTTGTTGTTGCTATTGTTTCGACTGTTGTTGTTGTTGCTGCTATTGCTATTACTAGTGGTGTTGCTGTTGTTGTGTTGTTGTTGCTATTGGTGCGGTTTTCAGCTGGACCCTCGGCGCCTCGCCGCAGAGACCACGCGTCGTGGACTTCGCACCGAGGCGGCGTTGGCGACCAGCAGCGGGCATCTCACCGTTGGAGCTGCGCTTGGCCATCTCCGATGCGAGCGGCTGGGCGTCGGGCGGCCGCGGCGCTGGTCGGGCACTGGCGGCCGGAGCACGCGCGCTCAAAGGCTCTGCGAAATTTGAGCCAAGAGGGCGACGCGACGCCGACGGTCGAGCGGGGGCCCCTCGGGCCCCAGGGCGGCCCAGGGCCTTCAACAGCTGGGCCCCATGGCGGCCCAGGGCCCCCTAAGGCCCAGGCCCCGTTCAACTCGCAACGGCCGAAGCCATGGGCCCCAAAAGGTCAACGACGAAACCTATGTGGGGCCGTTGGTTGCGCCCAGGATAGATTTATAGCGCGGGCCCCATTTTCAAACTTAACGCCCAGGCCGACTCCGAACTTGCCCCGAGAAGGGCCCCGATTTCGAGCAGCCAGATGCTTGTCTGCAGGACCCCTTGCTCTAATGGTTATAATGTAAACATGAAACGGATGTAGCGGTGCCCAGGAGGTCGGTCCAGGGCCTTCTCGGCGCCTTCTTTGCGACCCCCCTAGGGCGCAACTTAAACCCATCCGAAACATGTGTGTTTCGGCATTGCCCAATCCTGGGTCCTCTCGGCAAGCTTCTTGGGGTTCCGAGAGGGCCCCACGAGGAGCCCAGGGTGGCGTTGATGCCAGAAACCCAAACACATATGTTATTGTTTGGCCCCCCGCGTCTGGAGCACCCTCTGGGGCCTCTGGGTGCCCTTTCTGAACCCTCTCAGAGCCCTCCCAGGGGCCTAAGAGGGGCCCAACATGGGCACGATGCGGCTCCAATGGGGCCCAAGAGGGCCCCAAGGGCTCCCCACGAGGGTCCAACGTCGCGGGAACTGGCCCTCTTCGCGACCCCGCTCGGCGCCCTCTCGGGACACTCTTTGGGCACTCTTTGGGCGCGCGGGGGTCCTCAGAGTCTCCCCCCTGGCACATTTTGGGCAGCTGAAGGTCTGAAGAGTCCCCCCCCCTGAGACTTGTTCGAGACTTTTCGGGGGGCTGTGGTTTCATTGGTTTTTCGCAGTGCGCTGTTTAGCTACTTTTTTTGAGACTGGTTTGAGACTGTTTTGAGACTCTTGGGAATCGGGCGGCGGGTGCCCAAATCGCTGCTGGGACTCTGCCAAAACACTATTTTGATACTTTTTTGGCACTTGTTGGATACTTTTTGGGAGGGTTCGGCGCGGGGGACTGTTTCGAGACTTGTTCGGGACGTTTTTTGGTACTTTTTTCTGTACTTTTTGAACGGCTCCCCAAACCCCCAAACAGTTTCAAAATAGTTTCAAAACAGTCTCAAAACAGTCTCCTGGCCAAAAACGGCACCAACAAGTCCCAACACAGTTTCAAAAACATATAAAAACAGCCCCCTTGCGGTCGCCGCTCCCCCCCCCCCCGTGCCGGGCCCCCAGGACGCGCAAAAAAAAAACGCAGGAAAAAGTCTCAGACAGAGTCTCGAAACAGTCTCCATCCGAATCCTTCGAACAGCTGCCCCCGAGAGGGCACCAACAAAGAGTCACGCAGTCTAGCGGGGTCCCAGGAGGAGTCTCAAGAAGAGTCTCGGTGCCAAAGAAGTCCCCCAGGGGAGTCTCGAAAAAGTCTGAGGGTACAGAAGGCCCCCCTGGGGGGACCTCCAGGAGCACCCCATGGCGCCCCAGCCACACCGACTGGCCGAAGGGCCGTCGTCGTCGCCGTCGTCGCCGCTGTCACCCTTGCCATACTCGCCGTCGTCGCCGCCGTCGCCGCAGCCGCCGCCACAGTGCACAGGGGGCCCTCATCGCCCCAAAGGGCGCTCCAAGATGCGCCAGCACGGCAATGATGACTGCACTTACCGCAGGACGGAGTCTGAGATGCATGAGCTCGCGGGCCAGACATGACGAAGCTGAGGAGAGGGGCGGCGGCGAAAGCCAAGAGAGGGCGTCAGACGGGGAGATGGGGGTGACCAATCACCTCGAACCGTTGCCCACCCCCTTGCCAAGCCCAGGCTGTCAGGCACGGGGCACGTCGCCACGCCAAACCTCGGACAGATCCGTTCAGCGATGGGGGAAGTGCAAGTGCTGCAAGCTTTGACAATGAGTTTGCGCGGCGCCAAGGTTAAGGCGAGAGCGTAATTTTAACACCGCCCGCCCTCCATCAGTGTAGCTGATGCAAGTTGTAGACGAGCTCAGGCGAGAGCCGCAACTTGAAAACCGCCCGCCTTCCATCCGCGTCTGCTGCGGATGTTTAAGATGAGCGTGCGCGGCGCTAAAACGAGAGCCCCCGCCTCAACGTCGACCCCTGTCCCCCTCGCCCATCGGCGCCCCAGCCGCCCTTCTTGCACGGCAACCTATAAGGGAAGCGAGGGCCTCACCCCCTCCTCATTTCGGTTGTCCCTGCTCTTCCCCCTCATCACCGTTCCCCGGCATCCTGCTCCTCCATCCCCCCCCCCCACACCCATTAATCGTTTTTTTGTTCATCGCTCATCGGGAGGGCGCCAATCCCTCTGGCCCCTCGGGCTCTCCAGGGCGCTGCGGGCGCTCCTTCGACATGAGATCCAAACCACCTGGCAGGCCACGAAGGAGCTCCCGAGCACGCCGCCTCATGTACGGACGCAGCGTCAGGAGTGCGAATTTGTTTTCGTGCGACGGCTTGTCGTCACAGACCTCCCCAAGGTCCAGCGCCCACGATACTAACAAGCCAAGTGGGCGGCCCTGCGCCGCCAAATTCTCAAGATCGCTGCCGTGCGCTGCTGCGCTCATTGTGCAGCGGCCATGGCCACGATGGCACCTGGCCTCGAAACACCTGCCTTCCCTGTAATACACAATCGTACCTTTTCCTTGGACATTGACAGCATGCTGCACAGGCTCGCGGCTCGCCCGCGACCCCGCCTCTGAGCGGGAGGCCCGAGAGACAGGAGGCGGGGGCGGAGGCAACGGAAAAACAGGCGGTGGCATAGGGGCCTCGGGCGGCAGCGGAACCTCGCCGCCGCCGTCGCCGCCCTCGCCCTCGCTGAACAACTCGTCGATGTCCATGCCGACCTCGTCCTGTGCGGATCGAGGGGCAGGAGGGCGATGCAACCCCAGCCCTCCCACTCCACCCCAGACCCACAGAGGAGGCCTGCCGAGACGGCCCGACACGGCTCCAAGATGACCCCCAAGAGACATACATATGTTCCTCGTGTTGCTTCCGCCTCTTCACATCATCTTCCTCCTCCGTAATGTGCATCTGTTCATCTTACCAGGGATTGCTTCATATCCTGCCTGCCTTCCACCGCCCCCTCCCTAACCCCCTGTCGTCCAACCTCCTCGTCACCTCCCGCTCTTGGGGACGTATAGGGCCGTTTCGGTGGCGTGTCGGAACCTATCGGGGCTTGTTTGTGATGTGTTAGAGCCGTTGTTTTGTTTTACGTGTTGCTTGATTGTTGTGCTTTTGTTTGAAGCGCTGCTGTTTTACACTTTCCACACCGTTAACCTAACTAGCTAATGTGTTAAATGTAGAGGCCTCCCCACCTTAGGATTAGGCGATGCTTGCGGGAACTTACATTCAAGTATGCTGTCCTCGCCACCAGCGCGGACGTCGTCCGCGCCGCCGTGGTCGTCGCCGCCCACGGGCCCGTCGTCCAGGGGGAGGGGGTCATCCAGGTCCTCCTCCTGGTCCGACGCGATGCTCCCGTGGTCGCCGTCGTCGCCGTCGTCCGTGGCGGCGGGCCGCGCAGCTGTGGCCCGCCTCGTCGCCTTCCCTGACTGCCGCAGCTCGGACTCGGGGCCCATGGAGACCACGACGACGTCGGCAGGGCGAAAACGGGCGACGGCACGATCACTCTCGTCGATGACCCAAAAGCTGATCGACCAATCGGCCGTGAGGTCCAAGCTACTGAACGCCTCCCAATCAACCAAAGACTCTGTGGCACCCCTCGTGGGGGGCGAAACTATAGCAATGACGGGATCACTCTCACCCCATCCCCAATCATCCTCCCCCCATCGATCCCTATGACCCCTTTCCGACTAGCCCCCTTGCGTTCCCCTCGCCAGTGTCGTCCTGGTCTGTCTCGTCACACCCTCCTCTTCTCCCTCGTCCCCTGTGCCCGTGCCTGCGTGCCTGTATGCGTGTGCGTGCGTGCGTATCTGCCCGTATGTGCGCGCACCTACGAATATGCGCACGCGTGCGTGCGCGCGCGTGCGTGCCAGCGCGCATGCGTGCACGCGCGCGTTCGTGGTGGGAGGAGTGTGTTTCCGTTCCGCTAACGACTCCTCCAACAATACCTCCACCTGGCCGCCGACGGCCTCCTGCTCGACGAAGGCGAGCGGCCTGAAGTTGGAGCAGTAGGGGCTGAACTCGTGGGAGCCGATGTGCCACCACACGTAGGCGCCCACGCCGTCGGGGTCGTCGCCAGAGGGGCCAGCTGCCACAACGCCCCGGCCATCGACGACAGCCGCCTTGATGCCGCGCAGTCGCACGACCAAGCTGGAATCGTCCAAGAGCTTCCGCTCGGGCGACCCCTTGGTGCAGAGGCCCTTCAGCTCGGAGTAGAAGCGCCTGCGGAACTTCTTGATGACATCGGCCTCAGGGCAACAGATGCACATGCCGATCTGAGCACAAGTGTACTTCTTCTTCTGGACGGGCACGTCTACGGGGGCACAGTCGTCGCGCATGATGGCCCTGTGCCTCTCCATCCAGCCTGATGCGAGACAAGCTTTCATGTTGCTGCCGTGCCCTGACATCCACAGCGAGCGAGCGATCGAAGCTGTCGACGTAGTAGGGCGCTTGAACTCCAGCATCTGGCCGATGTGCGAGGGCATAGGAGAAAGCATAACCTGGAAAGCAGCCACGCCCTTGAAACTGTTGCACATGGATGCCCACTGGGCAGCGCCCGTAGTCGACTCCCAAGCCTCCATCGCGTCGGCCATCTTTCGCTCCTCGGTCTTGGCCACGCGGCGCAAGCTCACCATGTGCGACTGGGCAGCCCGCATCATCGAGTCCATGTTCACGGTGGCGTTGGGATCTGCCGATGCCCGCCGCATTGCCAAATCAGTCACCCCCCCGCGGCTGGTCGGCACGACAGCCTCCGCGACGAGCTGCTGCTCAGACGCCTTCCGCCGCCTCTTGGCCTGGGCGCGAGCGAGGTCGCGGGACCGGAGGCCGAAGGCGCTGCCAGGTGCATCCGCAGCACGGGGATTCCCATTGGCCGCGGCTGCGACGGCAGCCAGCCTCGCCACCTCTGCTCTTGGTAAAGCGCGGTACGCAGCGCTCAAGGCGGCGATGCACTGGCGGCCAGTCTGACCAAGGGATTGCTCCCTCAGGAGAGCATGCCAAGAAGACACCGTGCCCCTGACAGTGGCGGTAGCCTCCTCGCCTGGCGGCCCGCCAGGGCCCCCTGCGTCATCGCCACCACCTGCTGGCGCGCCCCCCTCACCGACTGCTCGAAATGCCCTGCCTGATAAACGAGCTTGGGCAACCACCCATTCGGCCGACGACTCCGCGAACGTTGCCGAGTGGGTCTGCACTCCCCTGACCATCAGCCGCCTGCGGATCGAGGCGTGGTGGGACTCGATAGCCTTGATGTCCAAGTCGATCGTGGCGGCAAGCAGGTTCAACACTGCGATCGCCGCTGGGTTCGACAAGCCTCCGTCCGCGTCCTTGTGTCGCAGCACGAAGTCCTTCGTCCAGCTGTCCATGCGGCAATCCTGGAGGTCACTCACTTCCTGCGCAACGGCTGGGTCCACGATCATGGCGAAGGTGCGAGTCGGAAGCAAGCTATGTCGATGCGTGAACGCCTCCCGGACCTGGCACTCAGACCTCGAAAGAAGCTTGAACGCGAGGGCGCGCGCCTTCCGAGTCATCGCCGACGGCTGCACGAGGTCCTTCCACAGCACGTGCTCGCGAAACAGAGGGTCCCACGCAGCCTGGAAGACGCGCGCAGGGGTGCCAAGCGCAGCCTCCACGATCGGCCACGTCCTGCTCGTCGAACTGGCTGCGCCCTTGGACTCAGCCTGGACAACCATGCCCCTCTGCTTGATCTCCCAGTGCTTGCCGCCGACCTCGAGGTGCCAATCCATCGTCCGACGTAAAGGCTCCAGCACCTGCCGAATGATCACCACTCTGTCAAGCGGCGACGTGTCCATCCAATCTTCAGCGGTGCTACGATGGTACTCATTCCCCAGCCGCTTTGCATTGAAATCTCCATGGCCCTGCCCATCGCCGCCGCTGGCAGCCGCAGCCTCTGCGGCGCCGCCCTCGCCGCCATCGGCGGCGGCAGGCCCAGCGGCAGCAGCTGGCAGAGCCCCGCCATCGCCCAGCCGAGGTCTCCTCTTGGAGCCCCGAGCCATCTCTTTCGCCCAGATAGCCCAGACAGCAGAGCCCAATCCGTGAATGCCGTCAAGTAGGATGAACTCGTCCATGGCAACGTCGGACCCCGCCCACCTGCTCCTCGGCCACCGGGTGAATCGAGCTCCCAAGAGGACGACCTCCAAGGCCTCCGACACCGACTTCTTGATCTCGCTCTCGTCTATGTCGATGCCCTCGGGAATCCATATGTCGACGTGCTCTCGGTCCCTCCAGTCCCCGTTCGGCAAATGGTGCAAAGCTGTCTTCTTCTCGATCAGTCGACTCCCCCTTGCGAGCGAAAGGCACAGCAAGTGCCGCTTGCGCGGGGTGGCCTCTGGAGGGGGCCTCCCCCTGCGGATGCGAATCCGCCGTTGAACCACAGCGCGGAATATCCGACAGAAAGAAGAGAAGCCCGAGCCCTCGTTGACGGCAAGTGCGAAATTGATCTGGCTAGACACGTCGGAGCCCGTCAGGTCGAAGGTGTGCGTGAATACGTTGGCGAGGCAATGCGTGGAGCATGTGAAACCAATCTTGCCCCAGCCGTCGCCTCGTCGGTCAACCCCGACCTGCGCCTCGCAGCGGGCGTCCGGGCCAGCGCCGTCCAGGACTGACACGCGCGTCTTGCACGCAAAGTCCTTAGCAGCCCGTCCAACAGCAGTGGTGCGACGTTGGTCCGCCTCTCGAAGACACTCCCCAGTGTTCCGATCCAGCCACTGGAGCGGAGCAATGGACGCGCCGACGATGCCGACGTACTCGCCCGCGTTGGTCCTCAGAAGGTACCCGAACCTCGACGAGCTCTGCAGCAGCTTGATGACAGTTCTCTCTAACTTCGGCTTCCCCCACTGTCGAGATCGATCCATGTGGTACACGGCCACCTGCTGCTGATCGGAAGAGCCCACTGCACCGCGACCACGTGCTTGGAACGAATCGTTCACTGACAGCTTCATCGGGGTCTCGTCGTACTTGACCGCCTCGACGTAGTGGAGCAAGTTCTCCTTGGGGACCGTATTTGCCAAATAGCACTCCAGCGCAAGCTTCTGGTCCCGCTCGAAATGTACGATGGTGTTGGCCAAGACGATCACGCACTCTGTGTAGCTCCCATGGGTCACGCCGATCGAGTCCTGGATCGATGCCTTTGACGTGGTTCTGCCAGCCAGCTCGGACGACGAATCCATCAACATGCTGTTGAGCTTCGCTGGCACGTCTTGGTCTGATACTCTCTGGCGCTCGATCGCGAGCGCTGCCATGCGAACGTACGGGAGCAGCGGCCACTGATCTGTCGAGCCTCTGCCCGTGCATTGGACGATGTGTCTGGGCACGGTGGGCAGCTTCACTGACTCCGACAGGGGCAGCGACAGGGCGTTGGTGCGGCCCGCCGCCGCGACCGACCTCGCGGCTGCCCGACTGGGCCTGCGGGGCGGGGGGCGCGGCCCTCTGGCCGCGGCGCCCGCGGGGCCGCGGGGCGGCGGGTGAGGCTCACCCGCGACCTCGGCGAGCACATCGCCCCAGCCGTCCGCCATCGCGGTCTTGCCGCAAAAAAAAAGACACAAAGTGCCAAAGCCTTGCCGAGACATGTGCGATCCAAAACGGCAGCGCGTGGTGATGATGATGGCGGTGATGCTGCTGCCGTTGGCGACGGGGGGGGGGGGGGCGTCCTGAATCCCTTGGGAAGGGGGGGGGGGGGGGGGGGCAAGGGGCGCCTGCACCCGCTCATCACAGCCCTTCCTTTCTGTCATGTGTCATGTGCCCCCCCCCCCCACCCCCGCCCAGTCCCCGACCTTATTTTGTCTCCCCCCTCGCTCATTACCCAACCCCCGATTCAAAACAGAGCAAGGCGGACGTCGAGTCGGTGCGTGTCCTGCCCAAAGGGCACGGGGGGGGGCCTGAAAGGGCCTAGGTTGAACCATACGGAACCTCGCATCGCACCTGTGGGGAAAGGGGCTGAACCCCGCCAAACTACACATCGCACTCAGCGCGCGCTGAGGTTCTTGGGGGACGATGCGCTGCGGACCCGAGGCACACCCAGCAAAACGTTAGAACTATTGTGTTTTCCGCATTATCGCATTGATACGAGCGAGCATTGTTTTTGATATTCTTTAAAACTGTTTTGGGGCTGCGTCGGAAACGTAGGAAACAACTGTTTTGAGACTCCCTGGGAGATGTTGTGGGGAGTGATCATTTTCCCAGCTGGAGGAGGCCACGCATATCATAACTATAGCCCCACCAAACAATGGTTTAAGAACCTCTTGTGGTTTGCACGACATGTTCTTAGAAGATTTCTGGCTGGGACTGTCTTGTTTGAACACACCGGGTTTATGTTCTAAGAACATTGTTTTTGTTATTAGAACATTGCTGTGTTCTAAGAACCCTTCGTGGTAGGACTATAGGAATGCCAGGACGGTCGGCCCCTGATCAAGTACGAGTGGCCCTTTGCCCCAGTGGCCTTTGGGTCGGGCGCACCGGGGCCCCCCGATCGCCGAGCGCGATGCCTCAGGAGCGCCTTGCGCGCTTGTGTTTGGTCCCCCCGCGGCGCCCAGAGAGCCGCGCACCGGAGGCCACTCCCTGCCCAGAGGCCGCTCCTGCGCGTGGCCGGTCTCCCAGACCTGCGACGATGTGTCTGTCTTCGGCCGGCGGTGTTCCCTTGACCTTCGGCCCTCGGGGGCGGCTCCTCGGGCCCCGGGAGGATCAGAGGCGGGTCCCAAGGGGGGGAGAGGCTGCCCCCCCATGGGAAGCGGTCGGGGCCTCCGGGGCCGCGGGCAGGAATAATCGGATCGGCGGGTGTCCAGGGCTTCCTGTCGGCATGAAGGCAAAGTTGTGGCAAGAATGCGAGACGCATGGGTTCCGCTGCATTCGGTCCTCGTGGGCCCTCGAAGGGCCACAGGGTAGTCAAAGACCTGCTGAGGACGACAAGTGGCCCTACGGAAAGGGTCGCGTTCTCTGGGGGCACCGCATTGAACAATTCTAGACGCTTCGCATATCCCCACCAGCCCGTCCAGAAATGAGTCCCAGGGGAGTGGAGGTTATGAGGGAAGCGGGGGAGCGTGCAGAAGAACAAAGGGCGGGGTGAGCCGCCATATACCCCCAGAGGGGGAGGATGTAGGAGGAGCCGTCGTCGTCGGAGTAGGAGGAGGAAGAGGAGGAGCAGGAGGAGGAGCAGGAGCAGGAGGGGGAGGAGGAGGAGGAGGAGGAGGAGGAAGATGAGGAGGAGGAGGAGGAGATGGAGCACTGCGAGGACGAGGAGGACGAGAAGGAGGAAAAGGAGAAGGAGGAGGAGGAGGGGGAGGAGGAGGAGGAGGAGGGAAAGGGGGAGGAGGGAGGAGGTAGAAAAAGAGGAGGAGGAGGAGGAGGAGGAGGAGGAGGAGGACAATGGCGAGCTTGGGGGCCTCTTGGGCCGTCTTTGGGGTCTCTTGGGGGTCTCTTGGGGGCCTCTTGGAGGCCTCTTGGGGGCCTCTTGGGGCCTCTTGGGGCCCTCTTGGGGCGCTCTTGGGGCGCTCTTGCTCTTGGGGCCATGTTGGAGGAGATCTAAGGGGGGGTCGTATATTAGCGCTGCCCCTCTAGAGTGCCTCGAATCGCCTCTTGGGCCCTTCTTGAAGCCAACATCGTTCCAAAACCTGAGGAAAGTCAATGTTTTGTGCTTTTCGTTGTTTCGCTATTGGAGCCGACTTGGGCCATCTTGGGAGCCTCTTGGGGCCTCTTGGGGGTCTTGGGAGCTTCTTGAAGGCCTCTTGGGGGCCTCTTGGGGCCTCTTGGGGCCCTCTTGTGGCGCTCTTGGGGCGCTCTTGGGAGCCTTCGGGGCGCTCTTGGGGCCATGTTGGAGGAGATCTATCAAAGAAGCGGGGGTCGTATACTTGCGCTGCCCTTCTAGAGTGCCTCGAATCGCCTCTTGGGCCCTTCTTGAAGCCAAACTCCTTCCAAAACCTAAGGAAAGTCAATGTTTTGTGCGTTTCGCTTTTTAGCTATTGGAGCCGTCTTGGGCCATCTTGGGAGCCCCTTGGTGCCTCTTGGGGGTCTCTTGGGAGCTTCTTGAAGGCCTCTTGGGGGCCTCTTGGGGCCCTCTTGGAGGCGCTCTTGTGGCGCTCTTGGGAGCCTTCGGGGCGCTCTTGTGGCCATGTTGGAGAAGATCTATCACAGAAGGAGGGGTTCTTCATTAGCGTTGCCCCTCTAGAGTGCCTCGAATCGCCTCTTGGGCCCTTCTTGAAGCCAAAATCGTTCCAAAACCTAAGGGAAGTCAATGCTTTGTGCGTTTTCGTTTTTTCGCTCTTGGAGCCGGCTTGGGAGCCTCTTGGGGCTTCTTGGGGGTCTCTTGGGAGCTTCTTGAAGGCCTCTTGGGGGCCTCTTGGGGCCCTCTTGGGGGCGCTCTCGGGGCGCTCTTGGGAGCCTTCGGGGCGCTCTTGGGGCCATGTTGGAGGAGATCTATCAAAGAAGCGGGGTTCTTCATTAGCGTTGCCCCTCTAGAGTGCCTCGAATCGCTTCTTGGGCCCCCCAACAGGCCAACATCCTTCCAAAACCCGAGGAAAGTCAATGGTTTGTGCTTTTTCGCTCTTGGAGCCGTCTCGGGCCATCCTGGGAGCCTCTTGGGGCCTCTTGGGGGTCTCTTGGGAGCCTCTTGGAGGCCTCTTGGGGGCCTCTTGGGGCCTCTTGGGGCCCTCTTGTGGCGCTCTGTGGGCGCTCTTGGGAGCCTTCGGGGCGCTCTTGGGGCCATGTTGGAGGAGATCTATCAAAGAAGCGGGGGTCGTATACTTGCGCTGCCCTTCTAGAGTGCCTCGAATCGCCTCTTGGGCCCTTCTTGAAGCCAAACTCCTTCCAAAACCTAAGGAAAGTCAATGGTTTGTGCGTTTCGCTTTTTCGCTATTGGAGCCGTCTTGGGCCATCTTGGGAGCCTCGTGGGGTTTCTTGGGGGTCTCCTGTGAGCTTCTTGAAGGCCTCTTGGGGGCCTCTTGGGGCCTCTTGGGGCCCTCTTGGGGGCGCTCTCGGGGCGCTCTTGGGAGCCTTCGGGGCGCTCTTGGGGCCATGTTGGAGGAGATCTATCAAAGAAGCGGGGTTCTTCATTAGCGTTGCCCCTCTAGAATGCCTCGAATCACCTCTTGGGCCCCCCAAGAGGCCAAACTCTGTCCAAAACCTACGTAAATCAATGTTTTGTTATTTTTCGTTGTTTCGTTCTTGGAGCCGTCTTGGGCCATCTTGGACGTTCCAGCGCGTCGCGGAACGCCCCGTCCAGGTCAGCGGGGAGGGGTAAGGGGAGGGGTAAACCCCTCCCCGAAGGGAAAGAATGGGGGTTGGAAGAGGAAGCTCTCTAGACCACCGACGCCCGAAAGGGCTGGTGGGATTACATCAGATTTGCGGGAAGAGGTCCTGAGGGAAGCGAGGCCCAGGCACTGGGGCTTCCCCAGGTCAAGTTGTTTCACCCCGAGTCGTTTCTTGACGGGCCCGAGACCAGTGGAAGGATCCAGTAGCCCAAACGGCGGCACAGATCCAGAACCCGCTTCTTTACTGCTACTCTTGCTCCTCCTCGCTCCTATAAGCTTTCGGCAGAAAAGGTGAGGGGTGTATGCGCCTCGTCTCTGCGCCCTCGTCTCGGCGCCCTTGTCTGGTCAGGTCGAGGATTTCAGGGGGCCTGGGGACATCCGTTCGACACAGGTGGCTTGGCGGTGGATTACTTGCATGCATGTGTTATTCATGAGGCTTACAGCATTCCGCCGACCCTCAGACAAAGTGAGGCCCTGTGGGCGTCTTGGTGGGCGTCTTGCAGCCTCGTCAGGGTTTCCTGGGCGCTTGCTGGCTGTTTCTTGGACGCCGTCGCGCGCATGGGACGCCTTCAAGTGTCCAGGTGCGTGGGGGAGAAGTGGTCGCCGCGCATTTGCTACTCCGCGCATGTGGCCTACTCGTCCTGCGCTTCTCTGACGGGAGCACTGAAAGATGTCGCGCGTCGCGCATGGAGCGAGATGTTTCGGGAGTGACGTCGCGGATGGCCGATCTGAAAGAGGAAAATTATACATAGATAACGACGACGCTGAGAGGAAGGAGGAAAAGGAGGATCAGATCGAGGACAACAGGACGGTTTGCACGGTTGTGAGGGCTCTATTTGAGGCCCCACTCGTGCAGCTGGGGGGGGGTCTTCAGGAACTCTCAGGAGCCTTTCGGGGTCTCATTTTGAACATTTTTGAAGCCTGCGGGAGCTGATGGGGGCAGCTTCGGGGCCTGCTGGCGGCCCAGGTGGCGGCCTCGTGGAGCTTTGTCGAGGCTCCCAGGGCGTTTGGGGGGCCCTTTGGGTTTTTGTTAGGGGCCTCTTGGAGCCTGTCGGGGGTCTTGAGGGCCATCTTCCTGCGGATGGCTTCCAGGGCCTCTGCGGGTTTCCCCTCTTGGGCTTCTCTCGGGGCCACATTCAGGTTGTGTGTCTGCCGTCTTGGGAGCCTATTGGGCCGTCTTGGGGCCTTCCTTGCCCGTCTCCAGGCCTTTTTGGGGGTCTCTTGGGCCAGCGTAGGCCAGTCTTGGGGGCCTCTTTGGCCATCTTGGGCGCGCA